TTATGAGTCTCAGATTCACATTATGGATGTCTCATTTTGTCGTGAAGATATTCGTCAAGCTTCAATTTTCAGCCATCCCAGTCTCTCCATATGATGAGACACGTGTTGTCCCCTCCTAGTTCCCGTAATGAGTCAGAGGAATGCGTTTTGTAGGGTTTGTATTCTTTTTTTATCAGATAAACGTAACGCTGGGCCATTTACTATATCTGCATAGTAGGTGTGAGAGATAACTAGGACATATAAAATCGTATTTCGGAGCAACACTTTTGGCGTTAAAATTGAAAAGGATATATGTGGTGTGTTTCTCCTTTTATCTACCACATCGCCGGACGTACTGTATATTGCAGTTTGTTCGCTTTGCAGATGTTTTCGCACGCGTCATATGTTTTAGATAATAGGTATTCTCATTATCATCGTAATTATGTCTGTAGTATTCGAATGTTAAACTTATAAGGGTTCCACATATGAGGGCCGATGCCTGCTGTTTCATGAAGAAAGAAATTGTGTGCTCTCTCAAAGGAATGGTAATAAAATACATTGATTTTGATAGTTCGAGTTGGAAAACGAGCAGAGACAGAGACAATTCTATATAACATCGTGAAAATGGATACAATCTAAATATGTATAAGATCACAATGACGTATCGATCTGAAAATTTGGTGGTGGCCATGAATGAATAAGATCCATTCAACTAAATTATATTCACTGAATCAACGTTGTCAGTTAAGCCAGTTTGACATGTCAACTTCTTTTTTTCAACACCCTATATAATACAGTATTTTGGATACTCCGTTGAATTTTGAATAATTATTTTATCCACCTTTTTTGGAAATAAGCATAGATTTCCGATAAACTTCAACGCAACCTATTTTAGATATACATTCAAAAGCTAGAGCATACCTGTCAATCAAAAGTTGAATTCACCAGAAATTCAACACAATGAGAAAGGACTCTACATGGGTGCAATGCCGGCCTTCTGGTCGGTACCGCCGCAACCTTTGTGTCTGAATCTGTAATATCTTCGAAAATACTCATTTAAACGACATGCTGTAAAAGGCCATATTGATCTATACCAGAGGTTCTCAAACTTATTTTGTCTACCCACTTCGAGAATTAATTATTTTCTAGCGCCCCCCAATTTTTTTTACTTTACTACATCTTAAGAATCACAATCGCAGTCATTATTTTAATAATTAAATTATGTGTGTCATGTGAAAATAAGACTTTCTGATAAGGGTAAGGTAAAACACCATTTTGTAATATTAGGAAAACTTGTATTCATGTTATTAAAACAAATATTTTAATTCGAATTTTAAAACTAATCTAATGTGAAGAATGAATTTGATGATTTTTAACAAGTTTCTTAATATCAGGCTCTAATTTACTCAGCCGTAAGTCACCGCGTTCAGTATTCTGCAACCGATTACTCTTTTCAGTTAGCAACGTTGCCACAGCACTAAATCAACGTTCACACAAATACGATGATGGGAATGCTATCAAAAATCGTTGAACGATGGACCACAATCCATGGTACAATGCGGGGTTGGCTATTGTGGCCAAAATTCTTGGTATCCATTTTTGAATTTTATTTTTATTTCCTCGTTCGTTATTAGTTCTATAAGTTCTTCTTCCAGCTGGGGTGATCCTACTGTGTTGACTTTTGAAAAAGGATCCACCACCCAGTCCGGTATTTCCAATTTTAAAATGTCCTGGAATCGTTCTGAAAAATCACTGTGGAGGTTCTCCAAATGTTGGCAGTAAACAAGCAGCTCGTCGTTGTTGGAGGAAACTGCTGACAAATTAGGGAAATTGCGAAACTCTCGTCTGCCCATATTATCCTTGTATGAGAGCAATTTGGCCACAAAAGCAGCAATGACATTTTTTGTTTTAATCAAATTCAAGTCGTCACCTTGAAGTTGGAGATTAACATCATTAGATAATTTATACAGATCTGTCAAGTACGCAATATCATTCTTTGAAGTGATGAGGTTGTCGTGCAACTCTATGTCTTTGTTAAATTTTCCGAAAACACTATTACAGAGTCAAATAGATTGTAAAATCGAGTCAGGCAGTAACCTTCTGATAACCAACGCAATCGGTTAAAATCTTCGTCATTAGCAACACAAAGCTGATTAAACAATCTGTCATTTAAAGAGCTGTTTCAGATTTTATTGAGTGCTTTGATGATATATTGCAGTGATTGCGAGAGGCGCTCACTCAAAGTTTTCGCAACCAAATGTTGCTTATGAATAACGCAATGTACAGCGAGCACATCTGAAATTTTATTTTTTAAGTACGCTATGAAGCCTTTGTGACGTCCTGTCATAGTCGTAGCGCCATCCGTAGCAGCTAATATAATATTCTTAAGTGGAATTTCTTTCTCATCACAAAATTTTTTCAGTGTATTATATATGGTTTCTCCTTTTGTATCCGTCTCTAACTTTCTGGCAAATAGTAGTTCTTGATATCTTTTATCATTTTCAATAAACCTCACTTATGCTCACAACAATGCTTCATTGGTTGGACTCATCTAACTGAATTGAGAATTTGGAAGTCTTCAGATGATTGCACAATGACTCTTCAATGTTTTCAGCCATCTCATCAATTCGACTTCGCACGGAACTATTGCTCAAAGGAATTTTTCGGATAATATCTGCCGCTGGTTTATGGAACAGGTAAAATTAAATAATTTCCAATAGTGTGAGGTTTATCTGTTTGTGTAATTAGTAAGGAGATATTCTAAGAAACTTGTAGCCTTGAGGGTTTCATCGCTTCATTCGAAAATGGTTTTTGATAAAGAAGGCACATAGGCGAATATGGATTTGTTTTTTATAGCGATTATTTCGGAACACCGTGTATATTTTGGAATTTTTATGTTCCTTTTTTTTCAGTATAAGTGAATATTGTTGGATGCATTTCTTGAACATGATAAAAAAAGACATCAGAAGACGCACTCGTTTATCTATTTGTTCAAAAAACCTAATTTTCAAAAAGATCGTGCTTTCAGGCTTTGTAATACGAAGGAAGGAAATGATGGTGGAACAGACTTTGGCTAAAAGACAGCAAGAGCTTCGCAAAGAAGAGAAGCCGTCACAACCAGTGCTTGCAGTGCTTGCACTTCAAAAAGAATACCCTGTGAGTGCGGCAAATCCTATATCGGTGAAACTGATAGGCCATTGAAAGTCTGCATTGGCGAGTACACGAGAAATACACATCGAGGAGAAACCACCAAATCGGGAATAGCAGAGCATATTTGGACAACATAACATCTTTTTTTTTCAATTGTTCAATTTTTTGCTTATACTTCATTTCACTGTAATTTTATGTCAAGGCTTTTTTGCTTAATATAACTGTTCAAATCATTTTATATCATATTAGACAATGAAAGTCCGAACTAATAAAAAACATACTCTATACTTATCACATTTAAAATAAATTAAAAAGGAATACCACATGAGCTCAATATTTTATCAATTGATATTGCTCAAAAATTATAAAGTTTGAGTGAGGTGAATGCATCGATATGGGAAAACAATATCAATTTTCGAATTGAATCAATTGTATTACCTGAATAACGATAAATTTCAACAAGAACATTTGTTTGAAAGTAAAATTGTCAACATCAATGTGTTCGAATATATGAACAAAGTACGTAAATGACTAAACTCGTATTTTTCAACAATAGGATTTAATTTTTGAAATTTATTGTGCTTTGACATAAGACCACACACAGAGCCGGCACCCGTGTCATCCGACTTACTTGCCGCTGTTAGATGCATTAATTGTACGTCGCGTATTCTTGTCTTGTCTTATTATACCAATAAGTTTCGATTGAGATATTGAAATTTCTGAATATCATATATGAATTGTTGGTATTCAAGGTGGAGTGTAAATTGAAGTATTGTTGTTTCATTTTCGTAATATTATACGAAGTATGGCAATTCGTTTCTCTTTTCGATTCCTTGTATTGTATTGGTGAGTTTGATTTGATTTACAAATTCATTTTTGTTTTCAAGGTCTAGTCACTGTTATATTCATAATATGAAATTAAACCCGTGAAAATTTATTTACAAGCTTTTATTCAAAGTTTTAATATTTAGTCACAAAAATATTTCAATTTAAAAGTAATTGAAATTGTTAGAATAATGCATAACTAGTCCCTGATAGTTATGTATGATTCAAGAATAATTACACTTATTCGTAGATATAAATTTCATGGCTGTTGAAAAGAAGCATTTAATCGCTGTTAAACTCTGTTTTGGTGGTATAGCCTTAAATGTTTTCATCATTTCATCATTTTTTTATTTCAAGGAAATAATCGTTACAATTTTCTGGTATTACTTTCGAAAATATGATCAACCGTTATTCACTTCACTTATTCAAGAAACGGACCTTTACAAGAAATATAGTTTTATTGATATATAAATTGGTAAGACATTCAGATGTTCATTTATTAGGAAAAACAGTTCAGCCGCAGGAGTTTCAACATAAATCGTAAAATCCTCTTAAAGTATTCAAAATCGATAAATATTTTGAAGTTTTTTGATATGGAAATGCATTAACAAAGTTCACTTCCATTGAAAAAATTGATACGAAATACAAAAATATAGAAGGTATTTCATCAGAAATGAATAACTGTAACACACGCTGTATGCATGATATTTAAGTTTGATACGAACTGGATCAGTTCCTAGTTTTGTCTCAATCATTGAAATGCATATTAAATACATGTATATCAAAACATTTGAAAAAACGAAGTTGACAATGCAATACGGTTAAGTTGGCTACCCTGTAGCCCTCAGTATATTTTTTTAATAATCTAGATTGCATTCATTCATAGTAATTACCAACTTTTCATGAAATGTCATTTCATTCTCCAGAGCGTGGCTAACCCTGTAAAATAAAATAGAATCCAATGCTTTTTCATATAATGCTTTTTTTAATAAACATTTTGAGGTACTTTTCAATCAGTGTGAGAAATGGGCAACTGTATTTGTTGAGATTGTATTTATTGTAGAGGCAATCATTCGCCCAATCCATTTAATCAACCCAAGTTTGTTTCTATAGTAACAATCAACAATCACACATATTTGCAGGCGAGGCGTCTGAAATTTCAGTTCGGTTTTAGAATGTCGGATGACATCCTCGCGGAATAGAAAATTTGCTGTTTTATTGGAATGTTAAAATCTCAGCAATGGAGCTCATATCATCCCCTAATCCCCATTTTATTCCGGGGTGAGGAAGTGAATTTTAGTTGAGTTGCAGTGGAATAATACTCTATTTCTAGCTATACTGGGTTCTGTCCACAGTACAAGTACCGATTAGGAGATACTTACGGTACTACTACACATAAAGTACTATTAGATCCAACAGTTTGTCATGCAGAAAAATTAGTATTATCAGATAGAACCGCGGACGACTTCCAGGTAAGTTTTTGAAATGTTATTTTCAATTTACTCGATTGTAAAGCTCGGTACTTGCAGTGTAAAATATGGTAAAATATGTTTCTTTGTTAACCAACTATCGTCCCTCTACGAACGACTACTCTGAGAAGTCGAGCTGAGGATTAACAAGGTCTTACCCTATAACATGTGATTTCTAGCATGCTATGCTATATAAGTAAGAGTGGTTACCAGTAAACTGAATTTCATTCACAACAATTTGGCTCCATGCCAAAACACAGTAACTGATATTTAAACAAAAAATTAGTTTTATGCTCCTTTATACATATTGTGTTTGGAAACATATTCAGAGCTGGTCTATTCATCATTCACTGGCTTCGTAGATACTCTTAGAGTGTAATCAGTATCTATTTCTTTTGAACCTTCCTTTGCAAATAAGAATGTACTTATGGGCCCTAACTCATTTTATATGTCCTCCGATTTTGAAACCATTTTCAAGAAATTGATGTGACTCGACACCGGGACCTCAATCTGCCTACTCGCCAGGTCTCGTCATGAGTTCTCTCTAAGGTCTCAATTTGCCTACTCCTTAGATTGAACTGAGGTATCGCCCCCCATGCCCCCTCCCGGGTTGAGTACCCTGGGATAAAACTTTGCTCCACAAAGAAAATTTTGTGAGAAAAACTTAATATCCCATTCCTTCCAACCCCGCTCTTACGTGAGCGGTCCTCAATCCTTGCTGATAGGCACTTCAGCAAAATTGACATTTGACCTCCTTCGGTCGAAAGTCAGCCTTCAGGTGCTTTTACTTTCCTATCTAATGTTTTGTTTTATCTTGTGTTTCCTAACTGAATTTTTTTATGGGATCCCCAAAAACTAACCGGAGACTATTGTTTAAAAAGAGATGGCGGTCGAGTGTTTCTCGTTGATCCTCAAAAGCAAGTGTTTGTTATCTGTTAAAAAAATTATACTTACCGGAGCCGCCTGACAGCGAATCTCGGAGGTGAACGTTGGTTCTGCTTGGTTGACCTTCTACGTTTATCTATCTCTCTCTTTCTCTGAATTTGGGGTCATCCCTGTTTAATGCATTGTGTAGATAGCGTAGCGCTGGATTGTCGTGCGATCGAATTCTGTCAAACGCGTCTTCTTTGTGTTGTTTCATACAGTGCATTAAAACGAGCCACCCTGAATACCTTTTGATACAATAATTTGCAAGAAAAATACACGTCAACCATAATATATAGGGGGACACATTTTGACATATTCACATTTAATGTTACTTCCCCTATCGCACTCTTAGAGTTCAACCTAATTGAACTGAAGACGCTTGGTTAGTAGTATAGTTCAGTTATCACCCGAAGACGATTGTGGATACTAACAATCGAAACGTCGTGAAGTTACTTGGTTTTGAATCTTTTAATTTTTACAGTTTTCATTTTCATTTCTTGTTAATAAGTTTTTAACTTTTGTAATTTTTTCAGCTCGTCTTAATAGTTCAATTCTTTTGATTTTTTGGTTGTTGCTTGCATGCTATTTCATTGTAATTTCAGTATTTGCTTCATAAAATTGTTATTTTTTCAGCTAATCTTTTAAATTTTTTTGCAGATTTTTTCAGGGATTTCGAATCAATTTATATCATATTAGACAATAGAAGTCCGTACTGATGAAATACACCACGAAACGTTGTCAACCACTTTCAAATAAAAGTATACAGGGGGCACATTTTGAAATATTCACATTTGATCTAACTTTCACTATCACATCGCCAGAGTATGTCACCATTTTTTTCAATGGAATGGTGAGGTGAATCAGCAAAATTGCTGATATTTAAGTGATACGAATCCTCATTTATACCGTCTAGTTCATAACCAACGACCTCAAAAACTGTATATTTGGGCAGGAATTTTAGGTGGCCACATAATAGGAACTTTTTCTATCGATGATAATTTGACTAGTGATGAATATTTGGATATGTTGGAGAATCGAATAATACCGTGCACCAATAGGGCAATTGGGGAGGATATAAATTTATTCGAAAACGAAATAGTTTTTTAGCAGGATGGTGCACCTCTTTATTATGCAGCACCATTGTCCCCTTGTATACTATCGTTGACGTGTATTTATCTGAAAGATATGTACCTATTCGGTACATATCTTGAAGCGTTTACGGCGACCCGTACGCACGCGTTCATAAATGACTGGATCTGTCTTCTGTATATCGCTGCGCACTGGCCCCAAGTGGTTGCTACTGAAGTGGAAATGTGAGGACGGGGCTTTGATTGATTACCATCACCGGATGTCTTGGTGGGGGGTGGACATCGGGGTTTCCAAAGTTGGAAATCTCTGACCGTCATCACGTTTATTGGGGCAGGAAAGTCGTTTCTCGATTTCGATGGCCTCGCGAATGGGCTCGTTTCATGCTATGGAAAATGATACTGGTTTGCTTACAGACTGATCGAGTTAGGGGTATTTTATACTTATCAAGCCTCTTCGGTCCCATGATCTCTTTATATTTGCAGAAAAAAGAACAATTCGAAAAGCAAGAATTTAAATTGGCCGCGTGTCTGTTGACCAATAAAATGTATCGTGTCTAGAGCAGAGTTGCCAAGTGTAGTGGTTTTTAATATCCAATCACAGATCTGATGATCCAATTTGACAGACGCCATTTTTGTTGTTATTTGTTGTTATCGGTGTGAAAACCGAGAACGTTAAAGAACGTTGTTTTTGTGAAAAGTAGGTCTCGGCGGGTGCCTATTTTGCTGCATATGCAGTGTCATTAGTTTACATTCTGAAAAATTCCGAAAAATATTTTTTCACTTTATTTTTGGATCGAATTTCACCATTACTACCTTGGCCGAGCTAAAATTAAAATTAAATCAAAACTTTCCATCCTTCGATAAAATACAAAGTCTGAAATGAAAGTCATATAAATAAAACTAAATATACCACCTACCGTTTCAATTTTTCATTCTTCATTTTGGTACGAAAGTATTGCAAATGTTTTAAGTAAAATTATTGATCATTTCAAAATCGACTCCTGGTAAGAGTCAGCTTTAACAAAACTAGGCTCAACATTTTGAAATTATTTTACCAAAAATACAAAGTTATGTATGGAAACCATTGACATTAGAAAGAGCACATTGTTGCATACACTACAGAGGGCGCTGGCTGACAATATGGCTAATATACCACTAACGTTGAATTTCTTATTTTTGGTGGGTGGCATGAATGCATAATTGATTTATTTTATTAGGGTTCATGAACATTCGAAGACCATTTGAAAATACAGCTCGTTATATAGCTCTATATAGATTCATATTTAGATATAACTTGTATTAAATCAGTTATCAAGGCAAATATTATTATCCATTTTTATGCTTAATTCGTGGATTCGAGGGATCTTATTATTGTATATTTATTTGTTTGCTGGCTTCGTTCCTAACAAAAATTAATGAATAATTACAGGAAATATTAATTGATCGTTCATTTTCTCAGGAAAATGGGGTACCCATATCACAATTTATTGTATTATTCGGCATTAAAAATGTATGTCATATCGGATCCATTCCGCTTGTTTTTGCAACATTGAATCTCAACTTTTTGACAGCTCGCGTAGGAATAATTCGTTTTTTCATCGAGTTTAGTTTGTGTGTGTTTTAAAAGTGTTCAGAGATATATCTGAATATTAACATGGTGCATACTAGTGCTGATTTTAATTGTGCGGAAAGGCGAAAGAAAACAGAAAGCGCATTGGTTTATAGATGAGTTATTTCATATAATGAGTTTAGGTTCCCAAAGGATAAAAAATGGGTGAAAGTATTAAAAAGAAAGAAGTACAATCCTTCTATTCTTTCAAGACTTTATAGAAATCATTTAAAAAGTGACTATAAATGAAAGGGGGACGAAAGTATTGAATTTGATGACAGTTTTTTAATTCTCTACATAAAGTATTATCTGGAGTTAATACTGTTGCTGAAAGTATGATAAATTTCACTTCATTGAATTTCATCATATGAATAATGGTATTACCTCAGAAGCTTTTGTTGGATCAGTTCGAGTACAATAAATTCTGTCTATACTTGACTTCATCCAACGTTCCTCTCAAGTTTTGCAAGATTGAACAGATTACCCAAGCGAGTCTATAATGCTTGAATTTAGTAGCAATATCAGAAAGAGGTATATATGCAGGATTTTTTTTTAATAATAAATTGTAGTTGTACAGATTGAGCATTGTAGAATAAATTGAATATTTGAAATGATTCTTTAATCCAGTTTTCTATATTTTTTTATTTTCATAACTGTATATTATTAAATAATGCATAAAATCATAGTTTAGGTAAATATTTTGTGATCTTTCGACTTTGTGTACTGATTTTAGATATAGAACTTATTTCCAAACATGATTTTTTGTGTACATTTTATTCCATGTGGAAATTTTTCATTGATCGAAACGTTAATAGGTTCATATACACTTCCATAATTAAATTGATAATTATAGGCTTCGTCAATTTTACGATTTGGCAATATTGATTATTTCTATTGTTCCTATTGGTCAATCGAACAAGGAGCGGGAATAGGGCCGTGACATTACCGCCTACCACATTCGATTTTTAATAATTAATTACGGGAAAACTACGGTACTTAGAGAGCTGAAAAAAAGTGCACTATTTTTCAATTTGAAATTTCTATCAAGTGAACTATAAACCAAAAATCATGAAACAAGCCCATAATCCGAGCTTGTAGTGTTTTCGCTAGTCTTAGTGTTAGCAAAGTCTATATTGTGTCCTGTCTCTTGATGATATTTGGACAGGCTGAGCTTGGGTCTGACTTTCAGACAGCAAGTTGATGTTCGTGTACTATGCTTGTCACACGTCTGTTGGTCTGGCCTATATATGTTTTATGGCAATCGGGACAAGGAATTTCATATATACCCTGGAATTTATTGACCATTTTCTATTATACCATATTCAAGTGATTCTGATTGTTCAGTTTTTCCATCATTATTTACTTTTTCATTTTTTCAGACTTTCAGGCCTTCCAACCGGGATATTGATATAGTGAACGAAAGACATGGGGATACAATTTACAAGCATCCCATAATACCTGGATATGAAGGTAGTCATTCATTGAAGAACACCTAATTACATTAATCAATCACCATATGGATTATATACTTCCAAAGAATATGTAAATCATTTTAATAACACCCTGTTGAGATATTCGTGGTTACCTTCTTCATATGATTATTATATTTCTTCACGGGTTCTGGGAAATCATAAATCTGGTTTTCTTTCAATTTCGAAAAAGGATCACCGTGAAACATAATAAATGATTTTTTTGCCCGAATTTATTAAAATGTAGCTTGTGAACAAATGTAGCTTGGTTGCCAAACATTTCAATTGATAAATTGTTGCATACATTTGTTATAGGATTCGTACCAAAGGAACATGGAAGATTTGGTCAAAGATATAGTGTACAAGCCATAGAGGCTCTTTCCGATTTTGAAAAGTTTCAAATGGCTGACAGGGAAGCTCAAAATCAGATTACGAAAATTGGATATCTTCAGAATAATAGCTGGGACCCAAAAACATTAGAAGATAAAGAGGTATATTGTTCTGAAAGGTTCAGTTGCAAAGTGTTGAATATCTTTAAAATTGAATACGGGTAATTAATATATGAAAGAATATAGTCCCTTCAAAGTTCAAATTCATCAATTCTGTTGAAAATAACCATCTTTAACGTGCAAGCAATCACGCAAAGTCTCAATTTTCAGTTAGCTCAAAGTCAATTCAAACTTCCATTACTTGAAGTGAGACCTGAATGTGGAGGACTTTTGAGGAATTTGCCAGTAACAGAAGCTCCTATAACTCCATCAAGACAATCACAGAGTCCTTATTTCTCAGATAACATTGATCCTGAGAAATATATGAAATCAGGTGAGAAACACTCTTTCATTCATAGAAGTTATTTTTAGGGTTTCCAGGACTTGATTTTTCAACGCTTCCTTCAAAAGAAATAACTGCTACCCCAGTCTCCAATGATTCCATATGAATGTTTATATTATTTCGTGTTGTTATTTATATTTTGTAGTAGAATGTCTTCAAAATATCCTGAGAAATATCCAGCAAACATAACCCTCAAAGTAATTATAAACAAACTTTCAAAAATTTCGAAATGGATATTATAATAATATGATATATGATGGAAGTCCATGATAAGATATTCACTAGAGAAAAACTGTTTGGTTAAAATCCCACAATAAAGTTTAACTTTAATACTTTGGATTTATTCATCTTGAAAACCAATCGTTTAAATTTAATTTAATCACTGAATTGCTCAGCAAGCACAAGTGTTCAACAGATTTGTGCTAGTCAATCCAATTGCAACCTGGCTCTCTGTGAACTACAAATATTTTCTTACGACGAGTAGAAGCAGTATGGCCCCACCAACCAACGAGAAGGTAGCATTTTCTCCCAAGCAGTAGACAAGAGGTCCCTATCCTGGCTAAAGAAAACGCATTAAATTGTTTTGAATTTAGTTGATAGCAACAAATCAATGATTGATTTAGTAGATACAATGGCTTCTTAAAGTAGTATCCTAACGATCGAGATGAGTAAGGAAATAACCTGAAGAAAGGGATAATGAATTGTCTACCAACAAATATTTATAACGGTGGACCTGGGAATTATGCGGAAGGATTAGCGAGGATATATAAATTGGATCTTCACAAGAATTGTCTTTCAGTTATTTTAGAGTATCAGGACAGACTGAAGTGAAGTGTTTAGTGAAGTTCTGTAAACCAGGTGTGTTATTGAAAATGGGTTACTTTGATAAGTTTCTTCTGCCTTGAATAAAACTGTAATATAAACCGTATTTTAGGAAACACTCGAGATTTTCAAAATAAACACTTTGTATATAGCTTAACGTTTATGTCAAAGTTTTGAATGTCATTTATGAGAAAAACCCGATGAAACTTTGTACGACTAATCAAAAATTATGTATGATCGACTGTATAATTCGTATTTACAGCAGCAGAGGTATACAACAGGTCCAGGCAAACGTAAGATTTTTATAAGCCACAAATTTCTGGTAAGAAAAATGTCGCAGAAATTCCCAGTGAACTAACATAATGAAACGTCGAAAATGAATAAGCAGTCAAGAAACTAAGCCTAGTTCGTGTTTTGATTTGAATAATTGGATAAAATTATTCACTTTCCTATACTTACGACCTTTAAAAGTCCGACAGAACGAATCCAAATCGACTGTGGGTGCTTTGTTCACTCACTCGAATTGACTGCCGTGTTGGTCGGTGGTTCAAGCCCTAGTCTGAACGATCGATCTTCACTTGCTATCGTCCAACCCGTGTTAGGAATCACACGTTAAAAGGTAATACCTCGTTAATCCTTAGCTCGCACAAGTTTCTACTTCTGAGGGTTGTCGTTTGTAGGGGTGCGACAGCTGGTTAACGGATAAACAGATTTTTTAAACAGACAGAACATACCCCAAAACAGAAAAACAACTAATCAATTTTTTGGTAGGTAATATAAATAGTTTGGTAATGACATCCAAAAATAGGAATTTTTTTTTGATCATTTTGAGAAAACGTAGGTATATCTGACGAAAATTGAGAAAATTTTAAGTGATTCTTCTAGTAATATCCAAAAATATATAATGACAAATTTTGTTCATTTTTATGAGTATTACAAAAAATCCAATTTTTTTAGGTGAATTGTTCAGATTGTTCGAAATGAACTAAAAGTATTTTTTAAATATTTCTGAAATAATGAAGTGATGAAAATTACTCTTCGTTGATTTGCTTCTGTGTGGTTGTGAAACTATATTATATAATTGCCACGTATAATGATCATGAATCGATTTGATTTCGTCGAAACACAGTACTGAATGTTTTTCACCGTTGGAGAAGGTCAACTTATCTGCAGGATGCCACGGAAATATTTGGAGAAATAAGAAGAGAGAAGAGGATCATGGACCAATCTTTGCCAAGATTGAAAGCACGTGCTTGAAGATCCGCCAAGACATGAAGAATACCCACAATAAAAAGTGGGGAAAGTTAGTGAGGAAACAATGCCCAAAAGCAAACAGAAAACAGGACAACTATGAAGCCGCCAACATCATCAACGTGAGCTCCCGCCCGCGGCGCCCGCTAACGGAAAGAGAGGAATCCTTATTGAGGAAAGCCCCAAACTTCGACATTGTTCCAACATCTAACATCAGCAATGAAGAACGTAGAGCTTTGAACGGCCTACACCATCAAGATCCTACCTACAGATAAAAGAAACGCTACTGTGGTGATGAATACTGTTCTCTACGAACACAAGATCGAAGAGGTTCTTCAGAAGGGACAATAC